TAAAGGTCTACAGTTGAATAGATGTTGACCTTTTGGGCTCACCTCCAAGGCATTCTTTTCTTCCCTACTGAGCTTGCACTGCAAAATGTCTGTTGTAAAGTGTGTTATGGTATGAAATGAGTACTTTTTAGCTTTGCTTTGGAAAGGGAGTATGGATTGTGTTGATTGCAAGTTCACATTCTGAAGGGTTGGTTTTTGTTTCTTCCAAAGCTATTTCTGATCCCCTGACCATTTCCCATTCATAGACTAGGCAGAAGGTTAATTTGCATATATTTGAGATAACTTCTGCATAGGTTTTCATAGTTTAAACATGAACCTGTTAGCAGTAGCTTCCGGATGTTTTTGCCCACTTTTGTCTTGCTGTGGCTCTAGCCTGGATTTTATGATGAAAGTGACAACACTGTGATTCTTATTTGCAGGTCCCTGCAGGTGGTTATTCTTCTATTGATAACGTCCAGAGTCCCAGCAACCCGCAGCCAAGAGATAAGATGGAAAGCTTCTTTCTGGGAGAAACGCTGAAGTATTTTTTTCTGCTCTTTTCTGATGATACGGACCTCATCAACCTTGACCAATATGTATTTAATACAGAGGCTCATCCTCTTCCCATCTGGGCTCCCGCTTAACAGAAATCCAGGAGAAACAGACCCTCATGGAGGGGGGGACAATTTCTCCTGGTCATGGGGCCTTTCCTAGGTGAGCAGGGATTGTACACAGCACAATTTTCAGGCCTTCCTGGAGGACCAAATGTGGGAAAGCCTTTCTCCGCTTTGGAGAAATCAGCCATTCTTAGACATCCAGCCGTGAAGTGTGTGCTGCACCCAGCTGCTGGGAGCCAGATGAAATCCGACTCAGGGCTGAAGCAGTGGGAGGTGGGAGGCCTAATCCAGAGGGACCACCAGGGCCTGAGCCATCTTGTGCCATTTTCCTTAAGAGTCCCTGATTCAGGGGGTTGTGCACACTGGCTTTAGGGGCTTCTTTCCCTTCAGGTTTTCAAATCATAGATTCATCTAGAACGAGAAAGAATAAGTCAGCAACTTGTAGGTCTAGGATAAGGCTGTAGTCCTGACTTAGAGATGGAATAAGCAAGAAGTCATTCCACCTTCATCAGATGATTGTAGTGTGCTTAGCTAGCAGTGGTTCCAGGCACTCTGATCTCACTCCACAAATACAAAACAGTGTAGTCATTTGGAAAGGCAAATGGCTTAAGAAGCATTTTTAGTGTCATTGTTCAGAAAGCACTGTGAATGTATCCGTGAGGGACACGGAGTTCCTTGTAGAAAGTTAAGTGTGGGAATTGCTGCTGTTTTGGCTCCGTGGTATATAATTTTATAGCTGTGTTTCCTTTTTGTTTTTTTTTTTAAACATGTAAGACTCAATGTGAAACAAAGTCAAAAAATTGCTCATACATTTGTATTTGCATCAGTTAGACTCAGGTATTCCGACTGGAAAGGCTGCTTTGTGGTGCTGAGCTAGGAGGGCGTAGTTAGTCTAACTCAGCTTTGTCTTACTTTCCTCTCTGCCTTTGCCATATTCCCCTATTGGGGTGCACTAGGCTTAATCCAGGCCAGTGTAAATTCCTATAATGTCTTACTTATTTGTACTGAAAGGGTTTTAATAAGTCTGCTTGTGTAGATGGGGACATTTCCTCTAAAGGACGGTTTCCCTTTGGGGTTGACTTGTTGAAATTACATGATTTTATCATGGAATCCTTGTTGAAACATTCTTTCCCCCAAATGTGCATAGATTTAGCAGGAATTGTAGCTGACATAGAAGTGAGAAAAGATCACAGTCAGTGCCCCAGAATTGAGTCTTGTGGTAGCCCAGTGTCATGTGAACCAAGAGGCTTATAATTTTCTGGAAGTCAGTGGAGCCCTACCAGGTCTTCCCTTTTGAAAGAGCGGCCCCTCAATCTGCCCAAATAAGTAAGTGCAAATAGCAATTTTCTACATGTTGGGAAACAGCTTGGAGCATCGGACATTTAACTGTTGCTAAGTGGACATGACCTTTCTACCTTAGTTGGATAAAACTGCTCAACTGTGTGGGACCATATGTAATTTTTGACAACACTCTTTATCATTCCTTCTAGTGATAGCTCATGTGTAAAGTCATTTCTGCAGTAAATAGGATTTATTTGAACATTTCATAAAGCCCATGATGCTAGAAATTGGGGTTGTCTTGCCATGACTAGATAATATGCGGTCTCCTATTTTTAAGAACTTAGGAAGAAGGATATGCATTCATGAATGGGGGTTCACAAATAGGGAGACCCATGGAGAGATGTGAATTTTCCCATGAGGTATGAACGCTGGACCATGGAAGTCAAGCTGCATTGTCTGGTTTATGTCTACATTGGAGGACTTTGTACACTGTGAAAAAAAGATGCCAAGTGCTATTAGAATGTGGGAGGTTAGATGAGTGGTGTCTTTTCCTTTTCTTTACATAAATACATGAATTTTCCCTAACTCTGTCCTATCACTACCACTGTTTCCTGGAACAAATGCTTATTTGAGTTGGTTTTTCTTTTGTGTTTTGTGTTAGTGGGTGCAGGGAGAATGGAGAGGAGAGAGTATATACCCAGCACTGGCAGAATTGGTAATGATCTTTCTTGGTTCATGAAAGCACTCTTTCCCCGGATGACTTCCTCAAAAATGAGCCTGAATTGAACCAGATTAGTGTACCTCTGTACTCCTTCACTTCATTCAGTGTTTCACTTTGGGGTGGAAATTAGTGAGGAAGATGCTATTTTTATGGAAACTTTAAGAAAGTTCATGTTATCTGAGCTCCACAGATAAGCTCCAAAATCTTATTTCAATCAATAAAGCCCTAATCCTAATTTCTCCTGCCCAAATTGTTCCCTAAGGACCATTATTCAGGTGGGAGGCAGCTTAGTGAAGAAAGAACACTGAAAATCTGATTGAGGCTAGAGAAATAGAGCCTCAGATCTGCCAGTATCTGTTTGACCTTGCGCAAGGCACATTGTCTCTGGCTCTCAGTGGAGGGAATTGAACTAGGTGATCTCTATGGTCCCTTCTGGCTATAAAACTAAGTGACTGGGTGGTATCTTGATCTCTAGTACCCCCATCTTCAACCAAAGGGAAAGAATGTGCCCTGGTGTCCTCAGAGTGGGAGGACACTGCTAAAAGTAAATTTGTAGCCACAGAATGTAAAAAGCGTCGAACTTAGAATCAAGACCTGGGCTAGGACCCAGGGCTCCTTACTCACAGGCCAATGTAATCTATTACATCTTGTCATACAGAAATTAATGTGCAAAAGAAACCCTAGGTCCTGTGGGGAAAGGGGAGAATTTTATTCCATGTTCTGAATCACCAAATAATGGAGTTCTATATTATACATTTTATTAAACTTAAAACTTATTTTAAGAGATTGTGTAGTGTGTTCATTGAAAACCTCAACCACTGTTTTCTGGTGATTTCTAGTTCCCTGACTTGAATATCCTTCTTTGTTACATATTTTTTACTATTTGGTAGTGATATGCTTGAGGTTTTGTTTATTTTTATGTACTTAGGTATAATGGAAGGCAGATATCTCTATGACCACCCCTTGTGAATTTAGTAAAGGCAAGGGATGGCTTCAGGGATAAGTATCTGTACCCATGTCAAAAGCCAAATCCCATTTAGGTAAGCAAAGTCAGTAGAAAAAGGCTGTTTCAGAAGATATAATTTGGTCATCTCTACACAGATGACTCCCAAATCTATAGATCCATTCCTAATCACTCTCCTGAACTTAGTCACATGTTGTCAGCAGCCTACCAAATAGCTCATCCTAAATGTTGCATAGAGGCTTGATTTATCAAACCCAACAGGTTCTAAAATGAAATCTCATCCTTTCCTAAACCTGCCCCTTCTCTAAACTTCCTTTATTTTCTATTGAGGTCACCAGCATCCTCCCAGTCTTACAGGTTTGTGACCTCCTAGTCTTCTTTAACTTTTACCTTTCTCCTCTATTCGATATCCAGTTACCTAGTCTTGTTGATTCTATCTCTACATCTTTTGCATCTGGCCCCTTCTCTCCCATCAGTCAATAGCCTCCTTCAGGCCTGGTCTCTCCAATCTCTAATCCATCCTCTACACAGTTGCTAACATGATCTACCCAGAGCTCTCATCTGACTGTACTAGTTAGGTTCAACATATCAAGGAAAGAGAAAGATAGCTACATCCATCTGCAGGGCTCAAAAAGGAAATAAGTTTTAGAGCTTATTTAACATAGGGTTAAATCATAGGATGTTGTCAGGGGTGGCACAAGATGATGTGCCAACCGTAGCCACATATATGCCACACTGCATACACATTTGCATACCTTCTTCTCACCTGGGGAAATGACTTTGTATGTTGCCCAAATCGTTTTTTCTACAAAGTCTCTTCTCTAAACTACTGTCTAGTCCACAGGTCTTAAAGGATTTGTAAAGAAATAGATGAAAGGGAGTTGGGTGTTTATATTCCAGTCACAGGGAAATAAGTTTAAATGCAAGAATTGGTAGAATTCTCTAGGCCTTCCCTTGGGTGGTCTACCTTGGTATTCTTTAGACCCAGTCAGGTCACTTCCTTGCTCAGGACCACAATGGCATCCCATTGCCTACAGGACAAAATACAAACTCTTTAGTCTGGCATTTAAGGACTTCCACTGTCTGGTCCCTACATGTTACCATACCTTTCTGACCTCACTTCTCAGTACTCTCCTTCACAGCACACATGTTCCATCCAAGAGGGACTTCTAGGTGTTCACCAGAACTTGTTCTGACATCTTCCTCTGTGTACTCCTGGCCTTCCCCATACATGGAATACTCCCTAATCACCTCTACCTCAAAGAATCCTTGGCTTCAATTAAGTTGTCCTCACTTTTATGTGAAACAGGGGTTTAAAGCTATACTGAGTATCGGGGTACCTCATATAGATTTGTGTAAACCTTTACATCCCTCCTGGCACATGGCTGTTGATTTGGCAACATTCGGTTCTCATTACAGTGAGCACACAAGGCTCCTGTCTAGAAACCAGGTGAAACTTTATTGCTGTTCATTACAGAGACAATGTGGCGTGATTCCTCTTAAGCAGGACTGACTGAATCTTCACTATTCTGCTTAGTCTTCTGCAGCAGCCTGGTACTATCTGTTACTCAGAGGTGGGGGAGAGAAAATTCCAATTTCAGTTACGATTGGGGGTAGGAGTGGCAGAGGACACCCATGGCTAACTTCAATTCATCTACCTTTAGAGAACCAGAATAATGTAAAAGCTTACCCTGGTAAAGGTAAAGGGTTCCTCTTTTTTTTTTTTTTTTTTTTGCTTTTGGGGGGTGCAAAAAGGGAAAATCCTACACACATTGCTACCTCTCCTCTCCCAGATTCCCTAAAATGGAAAGCTCGAGCTATGCGGGAACAGCAAGGAAGGGAGGTTTTGTTAAATAGGTCCAGGTAGGAGGGAACTCTGTGTGCAGATACTTCTTCACAGCCCAGATGCCATAGACTACTGGAGACTGCCAAGCCTTGTGATGATCCTACTCAGGAAGTTTAGGAGGTGCAATATCTGATCCTGGGGGACTGAGTTTATCAAGCAGTAGTCCTTGTCTGAGACAGTCAAAGGACTTTGAAAGTTTAACCCTGAGGATGAACAGACATCTAAAGCCTCTACTTTGGGCTCGGCTTTAGAAACAGTCCTGTTGGCCGGCACTGAAGGTAGAGTCCCACACAGTATGGCGATGGCTGTTTCCAAGTTTTGGAAGTCACGTTACTGTTTATGTCTTCCTGCTTCCACCCATTCATGGATATATTCAGCTTCTAGCTTCCGGACCTCTGTGACAGAGATGGGGTCTGCTGGATTGGACCCTCTGGAACAGGCAACACAAGGCAGGAAAGGTGAGTACTCTGCTTACCCTGCACTGGGCCTTTGGGAGGTCCTCCAGCCCAGAGTTTGGTGAGGGGCGAAACAGGATTACCAGGAGGCATGCAGGGTTGAAGAGGGGTAGAGGCTGTGGCCTGAGAGTGTTTCTAAAACCCTGGGATCAAACTAGTGATTTTGGCTTCAATCATATCATGTTCTAACTACTAAGTCATACTCCATACTTTGCCACCATGCTTCAGCTGCCTTCTCCCTTTGGCCCCCTTCTTTCTTTGGTGAGTTCTCCTGGGAACCTCCAGTTTGAGGAAAGGTCTAGAACCAGCATTACTCTAGACTTCACTACCATGTTCTCATAGGATACCTTCCCCTCCCTGCGTCCTGTTTTCAGCTTCTGCTTGTGTTGTCCTCCCTGCCCCCCAACTCCTTGATGGCAGGCACTTTTATTCGTATGTTTATTTTATTTGTATGTATTCCAATCACTTAGCAAAGTGCTTGGCACATAATAATCACCCAATAAATGCCTGTCTTAACTGCCCAAGATCTATTTCAACCCACCGCAGAGAGAGTTACCTTCTCCTGTCTAAACCCCACTTATCCTTTAGGATCCTGCTCAAATGTCAACCCCCATGAAGTCTCTGATTCCTTGCCCACAAGCACTTTTTGCCCTTTTTTTCCCCCTTTTTTTTGGGGGGGGGTCCAAACTAGTGATTTTACTAGTAGAGGAAAACAGTTCTGCAATGCAGAATGGTGCCTTTTCTGCATCTTCGTCTTAAGAGGGTTGCTTGAGGCACCAAAAGGTTAAAGAACTTGGCTGCAGTCATAGCCAGTGAAGTATACTTGAGCCCAGGCCTTAGCAACTCAGGGTGAACTTTTATCTCCACAACACACCTCTTATGAGGCTTTTATTCTACTCTAGTATAGTGTATCATTTCATTTAGCCTGTTAAGTTTCCTGAGAGCAGAGACTGGGCCTTATTTGTCTTTGTATTCTCACAGGTTCTTTGCACATAGTAGGCTCTTTATTTGTTCGATCAATTGAATAAAATGTTTTATAAAAATCTGTTGGTTTTGAACACTGTCTAGACACCCGTTAGCTTTAAGATGACCCCTGGGCATCACCCACCATGGCCCTAGAAACTAGATTACCCCCCAAGCTCCCTTTGGGGTAGGATTTTGCTCTTGTGGGTAGAATACAGACTGAGAGGAAATTCAAGAAGCCCATGCCTCCCCTACCTGAGATCTAGATGATGAGCTCCGCCCCGGATGGTGAGAGAGATCAAGGAAGAACTCAGATTACTCCTTATCTGTTCAGAAGAAAGAAACCCCCAGGAAAAGATGGGGGCTGTCAGTGACTCATACAGAATAGTACAGCACCAAACCTCTGGGGTGCTTTCCACAACCAGACAGAGACAGTCAAGAAAGATGCAAGAGGTTCATTCAAACCTTAGCCCTATGTGTCAGTCCCTATGGTGAAAGCTGAGCTTGCCTTGTTTGTTTCCTACCAGAATGGGAGTAGGGAGAGTTGAAGGTAGTTAGACAGGCCAGGCCTGTTCCCAGATTAAATGGCCAAAAAATACTTGAGAAGGATAGAAGAAGCTAGTGCCCAGCCTAGGTAGAGGAAAGGAGGTTGGCTTTTCCTGCAATGAAGCACAGGCTTACCAGATACTTACCCCACCCCCTGCCCAGGGATCCAAGTCTCCATTTGAAAATATGATGTTGCTTGCAGCTTTGAGATCTGAATAGGATAGGCCAGGGTATGAGCAAAAAAGGTGAGGGCCAAAACTTATTCACTAGAAACAAAGTCTACTTGCTTATTAGGATTTAGGAAAGCGCCAGCGGTACAATGTAGAATCCTGAGATCAGGAGCATGTCTGGAGGAATTATAGTTGGCTCCTGTACCCCATATTTTTGGGGGTGTCTCAAGTAGGCTGGGGCACTCATGTTGAGTGGAACAGAACCCATGGAAGATGGACTGTTAACCTTTACAAGTTTTAACAGTGCAGGTGAGAAGTGACCAATGACTTACTATTCCCCCAGAAGTTGGTCTGCATCCAGCTTTTCCGGGGCCTGACACCCCACCTATCAAAACAATACTTCTCTCGGAGGTCACTGGTGAATGGGATCTCAGGGAACATGTCAGTTACATTATTACTGTCAAAGGTGAGGTTGATCTCAGTGCAGGCCTGAAAAATGTCCCATCCCAAAACATACCAGGTCAGGGCAGGTTCACTATAGGCAAGGTTTCCATCCAGTCAGTCACCCACCCCACTGTCCCCAGCCCTGTACCTGATAATCCCAGGCCTCTGCACTGGGGCCTGTGCCACAGCCTGTGGGGTCAGCACACTTTTGGTAAAGTTTGTAGATATCATAACATGGCTCTGTACCAGAAGCATTGTAAAGCAATCCTAAGAGGATGGAAAGAAGAGGGTTTGGAACATAACATGAGTGGCCTGTGTGCCATAACATGGCTGTTAGGAGCTGTAAAAGAATTTCACATTCCAAATAATTTAATGGACAAGATTTATTACCTCTTTTCTTCCCCCCCACCCCCTACCAACTTAAATTATACTGCATACCCAAGGTTTTTTCCCCAAGTGGTGTTTCAAGAGTTCTGCCTGCTCTAGCTACCTCTACCTCTCTTAAGTAAAATTTAGTTACAGTACTGGGAAATCTTGGAAGAGTCAATCCCATATCCCCAAAGTGAAGCACCTTCAAGCCCCCTTGGATACAGATGAATTTGATGTAAAGACCAATCCATCCAGGCTCAAGGGCTATGCTCCCCAAGGCCCTGCCCCTCCCACCAATGCTAATTTAATCTGCACAGCTCACTGCTGGAGGCAGGCACATTGCCTCTCCCTGGATCCACCAATGCCTAGCAAGAGGAAACAGGTCCAGGCTTGCCCAGATGACATTTAAGTCCCTGACTGAAACAAGCCAATGGTAGTTAGGGACCCTCTTTCTGCTCTCCTCTGTTGACAAGAATTTCCCAGAACACTTGGAGCTTGGAGCGCGCAAAGTCACCCGGAAGGTGAGGGGCAGACACAGGTCAAAGGGGATCGTAGGAACCATGTCAGCAGCTCAGCCTGTGGTGTCAGCCACATATCCCCAGAAGCTGTTAGAAGGAGTTGGAAATCTGTGGCAGCTGGGGGTCTTGTGTGATGTGACCCTCGAAGTTGGTGGTGTCCACTTCCCTGCCCACCGAGTGGTCCTGGCCTCAGCCAGTGGCTACTGTCGGGCCCTTTTCCTGGGTGGTGCAGGCCTGGAGACCACTGTCCAGCTGCAGGGCATTCAGCCTGGGGGTATGGAGAATGTGCTCAACTTTATCTACTCTGGGAAGCTGCACCTCTCACCAGACAACTTCAGAGAGACAACACAGGCTGCTGAGGTCCTGCTGGTTCGTGATGCCATTCGCCTCTGCTGTGCCTTCCAAGGCACCACCACAACCCCACCGGGAAAGGTCACTGAAGCCCCTCAGGATGAGCAGTATGTCCAGGAGTTGCAACAGGATGCACTGAGTGAGTTACTGGAGAGAATGGGCATGCAGGGGGCTAGAGAGCCAACAGCGTTTGAGTTGATTGTGAGTTGGTTGGGGGAAAGCCCTCTAAGATTTCCAGAAGGCACCAAGATGTTGGGCCGGCTCCACTTTCCGTTGATGTCACCCACAGAACTTCAAGGCCCTGTGCAGGCCACATCCGCCATGGAGACTGATCTCACCTGTCCCAAGGCCCTGAGCTACCACATGCATGCTGGTGCCCAGCCAGCCCTGCAAGCTCAACATGGCTGCCCACAAGCCACTATCCCTACTCTGCTTGTTCTGGGAGGGCGTGGACCCAACAACCAGCTCAGTGGGGATGTGTGGGCCATGATGCTGGCTAATGGGACCTGGAGGCGAATGGGGAGGCTGGCCACACCACTGTACAATCATGCTGTGGCTGTGCTCAGTGGCTTCCTCTATATCCTGGGAGGCCAGTCCAAGTTTGACCCAGCTGGCCAGCATCCATCCAATGAGGTGAGAGCCTTGCATGAGGTCCTAGAGTAGAAGCAGTCAGAGCTGGGCATATCCCCAGTTTGGAGAGCACAATCCCAGCTACACTGAGACAAGAGTGAGACGCGCTTGAGAGAGCCAGAGTCCAAAATCCTGGGGAGACCTCCCTACCCTTCCACTGGCCTTTACAAAGGTGAAGGGCTTTCCCAAGCAGAGATGGTTCTGTAGTCTTACTCACTGAACTACAGGGCTTATTTACCTGGATACCCTGACAGAGGGAGAAGGGAGAAGTCAGGGCCCAGCGATGCTCTTCTCTTTATCCCCCAAACTCACCATGAGTCCCTTCCTGGTCATCCAGGCTGGTGACCTCATGCCTGGGGAGCTGAAATCCAAGTGTCCCTCTGGCCAATAATTGGGGCTTCAGTTTTCCTTTCTTAATGGGTGAACACAGGCATCCAAAAGCAGGGAGGGCTAAATGAAGAAGGGCCATACTCTGGGGCACACACCCTACTCACGGTGACCCCCGACCCCCAGGTATTTCGATTTGATCCCCAGCGTGGTACTTGGCTGCAGGTAGCCCGCATGCTGCAGAGGAGAAGCCGATTCCACGGGGCCGTCCTGGGTGAGGCTATTGTGGCTGTGGGCGGCGGGACACTTTTGGGGAAACTCACTAGGACCGTGGAGGCTTATGAGCCCATTCAGGACACCTGGAGGTGGCTGGTGCCCTTCCCTGTACCTGTGGCTGACCATGCTGGAACCACACATGAGGGCCTTCTCTATATAGCAGGTGAGCTAACTGAACGATGGCTCCCCTCCCCTGTGCAGCTGGAGGAACTGAGGAAGGAAAGGGAGGAAGGGAGGAAGAAGAATGGACAGAGAGAGGCCAAGCTCAGACAGGAATGCTGCCCAAACTCTGACCCTTGTTGGGAGCTTGAACAAGTCTGGGGACCAAACACACACCAATCTTTCTTTATCCGTGGGAAAGAAACAAAAGAAATTTACTTTCTAAAACGTGGCATAGTCTGAAAACATAAAGCAAGCTCCCAGGGGGTTAAATCAGGGGCCCTTAACCTTTCTTTATCATGGACCCCTGCAGCAGTCTAGTGGGGCCTATGCACACTTTCTCCCAATAGTGTTTTTTAAATGCAAAAAATAAAATATACAGATTAAAGGAAAGTCATCATATTAAAAATGACCTAAAACTCCACTTAAGACAGACTTTTGGAAAACCCTGTATGGCTCTATCTATCTGTGTGTGTGTACATACACACATACATATATGTGTGGGTATATGTACATATCGAGACAGATGGATGGGGCAAAGGGGAAGAAGGGAGGCAGGGAGGGAGAGAACACAGTTCATGGACCCCAAGTTAAGAACTTCCAGTTTAGATAAACCATGGCATTTATAACATCGTCAAAGGAAATCTGGGGGACAGGGCAGGATGAGATGGAGGCTCCAGGGACCAGGTCTCCCTATTAAATGTGAAGTGTTTAGAGTTTGCCAGAGAGTAGGAATTATGTGACTTCTCCTATCCTACCTCAGCCATTTCTTCCCTTCCTCACCCAAGGTGGCTTCTCTTCAGGTAAGACCTTAAATCTCCTGAGCAGTTATCTTCCACGTCTGCATCGCTGGGTCCCCAACCACCCACTGACTTTCTCCCGCTGTGAACACAGCCTTGCAGCTTCCAGAAACGCCCTCTTCTGTGTTGGAGGCCGGACCCTTAGCCCAGTGAGTGTTACGAGGAGAGGTTGGAGGGTGGGGGAAGGTTGAGCGTGGCTTAACTGAACAAGGGATGCATAGAGGGCCAGCCATTAAGTACTGTAACCCACCCCATCCCCAAACTCATTTCCATCTTATAGGTGAAAAAACTGAGGCCTCGGAGACACGAGTGTCTAAGATCATGCGGACAGCTCATGTCAGAGGCAGAACTCAGGTCTCCTGCTAATGTACTTTATTCCCATCATGGTGTAAGGCCCTGAGAATCCTGGTCTTCTTGGGAACTCCTAGGACTCCCAAGGACGGGTAGCTAGATATGACTGACAACCACTTGTGTGCACAGGCAGGGACATGGGTCCACGTTGCTGAGACTGAGTGCTACACCCCAAGCACAGACCAGTGGACAGTTCTGCGTCTCATCTCCCTGGGCCGATGTCAGCTGAGCATGGTTGGGCACGAGGACCAGCTCTATGTCACAGGTGGGGGCTCTTTGAGCACCAGGACCAAGGAGGCTGCAGTCCTGGTGTCCAAGCCAGCGGGGTGGGCCTGGCAGGAGGTGGGCTTCCTGCCACAGCCACTGCTGGATCACGCTTCTTGCATCTTTGCTCTACCCCAGGCTGGAGTTCCAGCCCCACAGGAAAGAGAAACCCAGCCTCAACCTTCTGGTTACCAATGAAGAGCAGATGAGGCTAACAGGAAAGTTACAGCAGGCAGGGGAGAAAGGCTGTCCGCCTTAATCTGGCCTCCTTTCTCTGAGCATCAGCATGCCCATCTGGGCACCAGTGAACTACTGAATAAAGATAAATACAACTCAATCCAGATGCACTAGGGGAGCTGTCGGGCTGGACAAGTAGAGGGGGGAGTCCTGGACTCTGGCATCACTGGCCCCAGTACTCACCCTCAGAGGTCCAACCCAGAACAGAGATGATGCGGACAGGCTGTGGCTGAGCATCGGACCCCAGTGGAGCCAGGGCAGAGGGAGAGCCCAAGGGACAGCACGTCTGACGCTCCCTATGGATTCCAGGGCCACAGTAACCAGAGACAATGCCAACACGTACCTCCCTAGACTTGCTAGTCCTCAGGGTGAGATGGGAGCTCCGACACTTTACTGATTGTGAGTCCTCAGGCAAATCACTGCCCCTCTTTGGAGCTCAGTTTCCTCATCTGTAAAATGATGGGGCTGGACTAGGATGGTCTAAAAACAGTGAGCATTTAAATAACAATGTTTTGCAAAGCACTTCATGTGTTCCCTCATTTGATCCTTTTTTAAAGATAAGGAAACTGAGGCTGAAACAGGTGCTAAGTGACTTGCCCAGGGTCACACACCTAGCAGGTATCTGAAGAAATATTTGAATGTCACATCTTCCTGACTCCCAGGCCAGCACTCACTGCATCACTGAGGTGCTGTGAGATCCCTTCAGCACAAGCCATTTGTTTAGGTCAGCTCTCCTCCATGGGGAGGCAGCTCTCCTCCATGGGGAGGCAGGAGCCTTCTTCTCTCTACTCTTCCTTATTCCTTACTGCTCCTCTTACACATACCTTACCATTACCTCTGCCCTCTTTTCTTCCCACCCTGACAGTCTTCTCACCATTTCTCTGCTGGGTCCCTCAAGCAGAAGGTGCCAGTAAAAGGAAGATTCTGCTCATAGCCCGGCGCCCTAGGGAACAGCTTGCCAGAGGGTGCTGGGATTCGACTAGGAAACGGCTCCTTGTTCACATTCCTTTGCTGTATGAACATGAAATTCTAAACCAGCCCTAAACTTGGAGTTCTCACAGAATATCAAAAACACCAGGCCGGTAATGGGCCATTCAGTCTATGTCTGCGATTGCTGGTTGCTGGGGCCAGATTGGCCAGATTCCCCTCTGCTCAGCAGGCTCCCAGACCTAACTCACCACAGGAAATTTGAGGACTTACCAGCCAGTTCCCTGAGCCCCTGGATCCGATTCTTTGCACTAAGTAGCCGATCGCATCCCACCTGGTAAGAGACATGCTGGTCAGTCTCCCTACTTATCTTACTGGGGAGCAGAGTTCAGGAATTCTGAGCTTGGGACACAAGACTTCCAGGATCATGGTCTGGACTCTCATCATCTCCAGCACAAACTGGGTGGATAATTTTGGTGACACAGGAGGGAACCTTGGTCCCAGGGATAAAAATGGGATGGCTCATAAAGGCAGTGGGATTGTGGAAACAAAATGGACATTTCTTCAAAAGCCTTGGGTTTGAATCCCAGCTCTGTTGTTTATTGCCTGTGTGATCCTTGGCTGGTCACCTCACATCTGTGGGCCTCAGTTTCCTCATATGTAAAATGATGGTTTTGGAACATGATCTGTAAGGTTCCCTTCAGTTCTCAATCCTCTAATTCTAAACTTTTAAGTGGCTGGACTTCAGCCTGGATTCATTGTTCCTTTTTAATCTTGTTTTGGAAAGCTCTTGTGGCCATGCACTTAGGAGCATCTTGCCACAGGCTCAAACAAGATGGCTCAGGCTAAGCCAGACCACCCATCTTTGCCTCCTTCCATCTGCTGGGATTTGGTATTTAGGAACAAGAATCCTCAGCTCTGACAGATGTTCTTTCACTCTCTCCCCCAATGTCCAGTGGCCCCTGGGACTCCTTACCTTGACAGGATTGGCTGGGAAATGGCCCAGGAAATCAGTGGGGTAGGGGTAGTCCATCATTGTGATCATGGTGAAGGCATTTCGGGCAAACTCAAACAGCTGGTTGATGGCTGAGTCACTTGAGGGCTGTGTGCAAGTGCCCATTTCCTGGCTGATTCTGTCAAAGGCTTTGAGGAGAAGAAGAAAAGAAGAAACGTGCTAGTCATTACATCCCAAGGGGATGCTGTTGCCTGAGCAAAGTGGAGCTAAGATGATATTCTGAGTCCAGGGCACACATCTTCCCCTCAGTTGGCTCAGGGTCCAAGAAGAAACATTTTCACTGAGAGACGGGGATACGTGACTCCCAAGCAATTTTTTCATTACATGGAGGAGTGTCCACTGATGCCTATGGCAGTATGGTTTGGGGGAAGGAGCAGAATCAGGATGCAGGACTCTATCACTACCAAATCACTGTGACCCTGGGCAAGTGACCTGGGGCCTCAGGTTTGTTTTTTTTTTTTATCAGTGAAATGAGGATACCTGCTCTGCATTTGTTCCAGAGATACTCGATGATCAAATAGATTAGTATATGAGAAACTACAAACACGAGGAAGAATTACTGTTACCTTGTTGTAAGTACAGGTCTCTGATTAGTCTGAAGGCTTCTCGCACTCCCTGGACACACTCAGGGCTATAGTTCTCAAAGTCCTGGGGGGGGAAACCCCAAAGCATGTGAGTTCCCCCTCTAATCCTTACTACAAGCCAAACCCTGTGCCCTTTCCCTGGGAAAAACCATGGCAATGCAGGACACAGAGGTGAAAGAGAAGGATCTATGGTGACCCCAATTCAATTTAATTCAACATTTGAAGACAAAAATTAAGCAGTCCTTGCTTGCAAGGATCTCATCTATTAGTACGTGGCAGTATGTACTAGTACACATACACAGATGAGTACAGTACAAGACTGTTCAAGGGCTGATGGCTGCATGGTGCTGCGAGGTACCAGCCTTTGGGCAAAGGCCACTGCTGGGACCACTAGGGCTCCTGCAGACTGGGGTGTTGGGTCAACTTACAGTAGTGACATCTCTGAAAAACTGGCGGGAATCTCCAATACCAGCGATGGACAGCACAGGAGCACTGGCAGCCAGTGCTCCGGCCACTAGGTTGGGGTACTTCATCCTCATGTAGGCACTGAGCATCCCTCCATAACTGGGGAGGCAACAAGGGAAGGCTCTGCCTGAAATACTCCTGTCTCCTGACTCTCTCCAGCCTTGTCTCCCCAACACATTCCCTCAACTCCTGCCTTGCCAAGATCCTTACTGTCCCCCTGGAAACACTAGGTTCGATCCCACCTTCAAACCCTACTTGTGTAAGATGAGAGTTCTAATACTTGTGCTATCTACCTCACTGAATGGAGAGTGCGGAAATAGTTTTCTGAACTGTAAAGTGTTATATGAAAAGGAGCTGCTATTATTATCTAAATCCCACCCATCCTTCAAGGCCTACTCCACAGAAGTATCTGTGTCATGTACGTACTCTTCCATTAGCATGTCTGGAGAGCAGTTAAAATTCCCCCAGGCCTGGAATAGCCGCAGAATGGGAGAACAGAAGGAAACTCCTCCCTGGGGCCCAAAGGAGAGAATTTTAGAACCAATAAGAAGTCCTCTTGACCCAGGGGCAAATCCCCCTAGCCTTTCTGGTCCTTAGTTTCTTCATCTGGAGTCAGAGATGCTCTTTTCCCTTCAGGAGAGTGTTGGGAGGATTAAATAAAATGATGCTTCACAAGGAAAAAAAAAACCCTACAAAGGCAGGTATTATCACCAGCCAATCAATGAGCAGTGTGCTAAGAGCCCCTGCCCTTGAGGAGTTAGGCAGGTGTACGCGGGCAGGTAGATACCGGACTGATACAAGAGAATTTCGAGGCAAAGGCAGCAGTAGCCAGAGGCATCAGGAAAGGCTTCATGTATGATATGGTGCTTGTGCTCAGTCTTGAACAAAACCAGGGATTCTTAGAAGCAAAGGTAAGGAGGGAATGAGGAAGAGTCAGGACAAAGGCCTAGAGAGAGGAAACATGCATGAGAAATAGCAAGAAGGCCAGTCTGGCTTGAATGGAGAGAATGTGAGGGTGAGTAAAGTTTAATAAGCCTTGGAAGGTAGGCTGGGGCCAGGTCACGAACATCTTTAAAAGCCAAACAAAGCCTTTTACATTTGCTGCTAGGGGCACTAAGGAGCCACTGCAGTTTACTGAGTAAGGGAGTAATGTAATCGCTGGCAGCTTAGACCACAGGGCGGCTGAAGGCAGGAAGATCCAGCAGGAGACAAATGCAATAATTGAGGGGAGAGGTGATGAGGGTCTGGGCCGAGATGGCAGCTGTGTCAGTGGAGAGAAGGGGACTGATACTGGATATGTGAGGGTAAGAGGGAGGTGTCAAGGATGAGCGAGGTTTTGAACCTAAGTGATTGGAAGGATGATGGTGTCCTCAACAGAAATAAAGACATCTAGCACAGGGGTGGGTTTGGGAGGAAAGATAAATGAATAGTTTTGGATATGTTAAGCTTATTATGCCTATGGCACGCGCAGCTCAAAACGTCCAGTGGAAATTCACTGCTATGAACTGTCACCAGTTGGCAGAAAGGTGGCAGGGACTGGTCGTATAAAACCATTCTGGGAGGGTTTGGATTATCCCCTATGAATCCAAACCACAGCAGGTCATTTAGGAAAACCTGGGGAGCTAAGGCACATGCCTTAGTTCCTTAGTGCTCTACTCTACTAGAAACTTCTAATAAGCTGGGCACCAAGTGAGATACCACAGCAGAGAACATGGAGGAAAAATCTGGGGCTGGAAGGACAGTGGGGCTGACCCGAGAAGGCCGGCCTTATTCTGAAATTTACCCCAAAGACTAAGCTTGTGAAGCATCCGCTGCCCCTTAGCCACCATGTGGCTCCCTAGGGACGTACCTCCCTCCAAAGGTGATGACAGGCACATTCTCGGCCTTGTATTCCTTTTGCAAAGCTTGGACCAGAACAGCAAAGTCAGCCAAGGCCTGCTCCACCGTAAGCAGGGCTGTATACCCCTTCTTGGTGGACTGAACCCCAAATGGGAGAGACTTTCCATAGTAGCGCTGGAAAATAAGAACCAAAAACAGACTGACTCCAACAATCCCATCTCAACCCAGCATTAGGCTCTACCGGCCAAAGCCATGAGCTGGCTGTTCCCTGGTAGGTCTCCTACTTGGGTCACAGGCAAATCCACTGCACAGGGGCAGCTCAACCTCATTTCTGAGCATCAGAAGTGTGTACACCATACCTGTGCAGGTTAAAAGATGACAAAGGCAGGGATGAAGAACACACGGGGCCGGATTATATCTTTTAAGTGCCAGAAATTATTCAAAATCTTTTCATGCCAATTGTAAACAAAACAGAACATCTGATTATGAACTGGGTGAAAATAACTAAACGTGCAACTTTTCTTTGAAAGCCTGAGTAAAAAGCTGACTCCATCAGGGCTGTCTGAATGCAGGCCAGACAAGAAACTGTCCTTGGGCCCAATGGCTGATGTCCTGATACAGAAGCAGAGCTGCTGCGACATGAACCAAAACGAACATCGAAGGAAGAGGATAGGGGCACGATCCTTTCCTCCCCTTGACTGGAGAGTTGGCCTCCCGTCACCTGCCCAGGAAGGAGCCCCAACCCTGAGAAACAGTCACACTATACCCACGTGCTCAGCAAAAACGACCAGAGCCTCCTCTACTGACGCTAGCTCCAGAATGAAATTGCAGTTATTGGCAAAGGCCCAGACATCACCTTCATTTCCCGTGTAAAAAAATATTGGTCCTGTTCCTTCCTTCCAGAACTTCTCTGTAAGACAGACCAAGAGAAAGAGATAGGGTGTTCTCTAACCATCAAAGAAAACATCCTGGGTTGTCCCCTCCAGGGAAAGGGCTTGCAATTTAATGAAATCAGATCTGGACTTTAAACCAGAAGCTCGATTTCTTCTCACCCTCACTCCCGGGAGCCCCAAAACGAGCCAACTTCAAAAGACTAAGCTGCGGAGGATCTGAACTAAACCAAAACCGCCCCTCCCCTCAAGAGGCTTATGTTCTGCAGGGCAGACTGGGGCTCTACCTAGGGGCCCTGGAGTAATGGTTTCCCCATCCACTGGCCTCTCCTGGCTGGACAGTTTGGCAGAAAATCAGATGGGTTGTGAGTCTTCCGCTGCCCATACTGCCAACGGCCCTCAACTACTCAACCAACATATACGTATGTGTGCATGTACAAACAAAATACATATATGGTAATTATTTTTGTGGAGAGAGCCCTCGCTGAGGTCCTCCCCTCCCACTTTCTTTGCCAGACCTCACCCGTCACCAGGAACCGCTGGAGGAAGGTATTGTTGCCATAGCTCTCAAAGTTGAAATGATCCAAAATCTGTTCAAAGTATCGCTCCTGGAAATCCACCTGGGGGGCTCCTTGAACTGGGGAGGGGTCACACTGAGTTAGCAGCTATGCCAGCGAAGGGACCCAGGACTCAGAGCTTGGAGGACATCGTGCTTGAGGAACAGTGCAGGTAGAGACCAAAGGGCAGAGAGGGGAAGGAAGGAGCTAACCTCGGGAGAGAGAGTGTGGTATGGGAGCTGAATGCAAGGCTATGTGTGTGCACAGAAAGATAGAGGTGGGGGCCAGGGATGGGATTTGAGAGAGAGTCAGGAAATCCATGTTAGTGGAGATGCCAGGAGGCTGACCTCTAAATTCTACAATGTTCCTAAGAACTCATCACCTCATCAAAGTTTGGGGAAGCTTCTGAGTAAAGGAGTTTGGGGAAAGGGTTTGGCAAAGGGGGTTTATTTCAATTCAAAAAACATCTGCTTATATGCAAGGTACTGTGCTTAGTGCTGGGGATACAGTGATGAAACAGTCCTGCCCTAAAAAGCTTACATTCTCCTGGAGAGTAATAACACACACAGATCCAAATTATGTACAGAGTAGGCAAAAAGACATTTCAAAAGGTAAAGAGTGATAAAGCTAGGGTACTCCAGAAAGATCTCATTTGGAAGGAAGCATCTGAGCTGTCTTGAAGGAAGCTAGGGATCCTTATAGGACAGATGTGAGGTGGGAGTACTTTCCAAACAGGGGGGACTGCCTGTGCAAAGACATGAAGGGGAGAGATGAGATGTTATAAGGCAACAGCTAGCAGGCCAGCTTAAGTGAAATGGAGTGTGTGGAGGGGAGTAATACGGATACTGGAAATGCAGGTGACAGTCAGACTGCAGGAGGCCTCAAATACCAGGCTGAAGATTTAATATTTAATATCATGGAGGTAATAGAGTCATAGAAGATTCTGGAGTGGGGTGGGGCAGCTAGATGGCGCAGTGGATAGAGCGCCGGCCCTGAAGTCAGGAGTACTTGAGTTCAAATCTGGCCTCAGACCAAACACTTGACACTAGTTGTGTGACCCTGAGCAAGTCACTTAATCCCAATTGCCAAAAAAAAAAAAAAAAAGATTCTGGAGTGGGGAGTTAAGATGGTCACCTCTGTTTTAGGAGTGTCAACTGGACAATGGTTTGGACAATGGTCTAGAGAAGGTAGGGAGCCCATCAAGGAGGCTACTGCAATGGTCTAGGCAAGAAGTAATGAGGGCCTGGGTCTAGGCTGTATGAGTGGAGAGAAGCAGAGAGATGGGAAAGAGGTCACTGAGGAGAAAGTGACAAGATGTGCCCACTGATTGTGCCACTGGAAACTCAATCTTCCCAAGTTCAAATGTGGCCTCAAGACACTTTCCAGTGTGTGACCCCGGGCAAGTCACTTAACCCTGTTTGCCTCAGTTCCTTCATCTGTAAAATGAGCTGGAGAAGAAAATGGCAAACCCCTCCAGTACCTTTGCCAAGAAAACCCTAAAAGGATTCACAAAGAGTCAGACACCACTGAAAAAGACTGAACAAAAAAACAACAGATAGATAACAGATGAATTCATAAATAAATCACACATCCTAAAACAGGCTGAGATTTAAAAAAAAAAACAAAGGGTTGAGACTGTACAGGGCCACATACTGAGTTTGCAGACATGGGTAACTGAAAAAAATACAATAGTGCCCTAAACAGAAATAAAGAAGTTAGGAAGAGGGGAAGGTTTCAGGGGAAACAGAATGAATTAGGTTTGGATGTTCTTTATTTGAAATATTGATGGGAGATCCAGGTGGAATGGTCCAGCAGGCAGCTGGTAACATGGCACCAGGGTTCTGGAAAGAAATTTGTGTGTGTGTGTGTGTGTGTGGCGATGGAGAGTTGGGAAATTATGTCCATAAAAATGATAATTTACCTTATGAGGAGCCCAATGAGATCTGTGAGCAGCTTATCAAAGGAGAGAGGAGAAAGAGGGCACAGTACAGAACTCTGAGGGATGTTGATATCCCATACATTAATTCGCCACCAGGAAACCAGGGCATACCTGGACATCTTGCCACCTGTCCAGCAGATGCAACCCCACCTAGAATAGCCAGCTTCAAGACAGGACCTACAAAGGCCATCCCCACCTCTCACCCACCCAAAAATTAATCCATGCAGCTTTGAAACTGTTGTACAGCTGAGAGATCCTAATAAATGAGTAAGTAGAAAATTGGCTAACACAAAATCATCAGGAAGCTAAGTGGCACAGTGGATAGGCCAGGACTTGGAGTCAGGAAGACATATGTTCAAATCCTGCCTCAAACATTCAGTTGTATGATTCTAAGCAAGTCACTTAACCTCTCTTGGCCTCAGTCTCCTCATCTATAAAACAGGGCTAATAACTGCAACCAACCTTAAAGGGTTGCTATGAGGACCAGATGAGATAACAGGTAAAGTACTTTGCAAACCTTAAAGCACTGTCCAAATGCTGGCTATTAACTGGCCATAGACCACACCACATCCAATCTAACTATCTACCACCAGAAAACAAATGTCTGCCTTGAAATCTTGTCATCTGCCCTGCTCTCCCCCAACTCCTTCCCCCTCTTCTTTTTCTAATCATCTGCTGTTGAAACAGTAATCAAATCTGACCTTGACAGCCAATGTCCCATGTCTCTGTGACTATACAGGCCTTTTCCTGGCCCCTACTCTCCTAGCTTTCTGTGACTTAAGGGTAGGAACTGTCTCATTTTTGTATCTATGTGTCCACAACAAAGCCCAGTGCCCAGTAAGTCAGTAAGTGAATATTCATTCACTCATTATTAGGTAGGACACAGATGATGAGCCAGCAAAAGAAGAAGTGTCAACTAGAAAGAGAACCAAGAACATGTCATGGAAACCAATGGAGGAGTTTTTAAAAATAGGATGTGGTTGATGGTCTCAAAAGCTGAAGTCCAACAAGGATGAACCAGTAGAAAAGGCTACTGGACTTAAGCAACTTAAGATTTTATGCAACCATAGAACGAATGATTAAGTGGCAAATAGAAAAATGGAGCCAAGTACAAGTGTAGGTGACCTTTTCTAGGAGTCCGAGAGAGACACAGAGACAGAGAGAGAAGATATTTTGAGGGCATATCAGAGTCAAGTGAACATTTTTTAAGGATGGAGGAGTTTGGGTAAGCAGAGGAGAAATCAGCAGATACAGAGACTGAAGATGGGGGTTAGGGGGGAGGAAATGACTGACTGATCCCGAAATCTTCCAGAAGAAATAGCAGGGGATAGGATCTGGAGTAAAGTAGAAGGATGGCCTTGGCAAGGAGGAAGGCCACCTCTTCATCAGAGAATATAGCTAGGCACAGAAAATGGAAATGGGGGTTGATGAAGCTCCTTGGGGGCAATTAAAAAAAGAACCCACAAGCATTTATTAAATGCCTACTATATACCAGACACTGTGCTAAGCATGGGGAAATAAATACAAACATGAAACAGGCCCTGCCCTCAAGAAGCTTCCATTGTATTTCAGAAGAGACCTGTGTCTATCTGAACATACAAAATAAAGAAGAGGTGAAGGCAGTAGCTGCTGAGTGGGGGGGGGGCGGTTTAAGTAGAGGTTGCCCCTTTATCTGGGTGTAGGAAGTGCTGGCACTTTTCTATTTGTACCTCCAGCACCTGGCTCCTGCTTGGCACACAGCAGGTCCAGCACAATGACTGGCAGATAAAATGCCCCGACAGCAGCCTCTGTATTCTGGTACCGTGGGAAAAGTCCCCTCTGAGAGGGCCAAGGGGAAGGCTTGGAACAGCCGCAGGGAAGAGCGGGAAGGCGCTGGGGTTAAGGGGGTCAGGCTAAGACAGGGATGGGGGGACAGGGCCTGGGGGAGGGGGGCTTTGCGTACACGGCCGGGGGAGGGCCGGCGTTTAGGGGAGAAACTGGGGAACACGTTTGGGCGAGGGAACTGGGGTGGGGCTGGCCTGGGAGGGCAGGGTTCAGGGGAGGTACGTTCTGGGGGCTGGGGACCAGGGCTTTGGGGAACCGCTGGGGGGGCAATTCCCAGAGAGGGGGGTCGGGGAGAGCAGGGGGCTGGGGTCACTCACCCCAGGACTCCCCGCTGCTCGGGCCCAGCAGCAGCAGCACCGAGGTCCAACTGAGGAGGCCGCCCCGCCGGGCAGCGCACACGCGGGTCCCGGCGCCCATGATCCTGAGGGGCCCAAGTCTAGCCTTGCACTCCTCCGCGCAGCCCGCCGAGATAGGGGACTGCCGACTGTCACATGACAGGCGCCCACGTGATTGCATGGACTCGGAAACCGGTCACGGGACAGGCGGAGCCTCGTGGGAGCACGGGACGCCGGTTCTCTTTCCAAGGTGACGAAGGCTGCTTGTCAGTGCAATTGGTGCAGCGGCCGTGGGCTCAGTTTCCCCATCCGTACAATGGGTGCAGCGCGTGAATGGATGTCCTAGGTCATCACCTCGCGGTGGGGCTTTAAGGTTTAGAACCTCCAAGGTCACGTGGCCCAAGCTCCTACCTCTTCACGCTTCCCTTGGAAAAACTGGGTCGGGGGAGGGAGGGTCTTTGGGTCTTGGGTGCGGGAGCTGCCACAGCGCCGGGAGAGCAGGAGGCTGAGGCCAATAGACGTCAAGCAATAATGATGACGGTGACCTCCAGTGATGAAAAGCCTGCACAATCACTGACACTTAACTCCTTGGGCCCAGTTCTTCCCTCTGGTCCAGCTCTGCGGCCACTGGGCAGTGCACTCTCCTGTGCCCCCACCACACAGTCTGTGGCACAACCAGAATTGGAACCCAGGTCTGCCAGCTGCCCAGGCCAGGGCGTGAGCACAGTAGGGGGCCGTGGAGTTTGCACTCTGAGCTCCTCAGTCTGGAGAAGGCAAGATTCACACAGTGAGAATCAGAGGACTCAAGGCTGGCCTCTTGTCCTCCACTCAAGGACAGATCTGACCCTGTCCCGTCCACTCCACCCCCCAATTCAATAAACTCCAGTGACTCTCTGTTATCTCCAGGGTCAAAAATTAAATCCTCTGTTTGGTTTCATAACCTGTCTCCTTCTGAGGAAGGAACACCTAGCAGAGAGCCGGGCCAGGTCAGGAAGACCTGATTTCAAGTCCTATCTGAGCAGCTTACTAAGCTGTGTGACTGTAGGCAAGTCACTTAGCCTCTGCTTGCCTCAGTTTCCTTAACTGTAAAATGGGCATGGCAACACCTACCTCACAGGTTCCCCTTCCATTCCTACCTTTCCTGTCCTCTGACACTCCTCCATTTATTCTGCAATTCAGTAACACAGGTCTCCCTGCTTTTTCTAGCACAAGACATTCCATCTCTGACCCTGGGCCTCTCCCTCTCATCTCCTCTCCTAGCTTCTCTTAGATCTCAGCTAAAGTGCTACCTTCTGCTGGAAGCCTTTACCAAAATCTTAATGCCTTCCCGCTTTTGATTATCTCCAATTTATCTTGTCTATATCTTGTTTGTACGTAGTTGTTTGCATGCTGTCTCCCCCCCCCCATACCGAGTTCTTGAGAGCAAGGACTGTCTTTTGCATTTCTTTGTATCTCTAGTATTTACCACAGTGCCTGGCATATAGTAGTCACTTAATACATGCTTCTTGACTTGGTCTCCATAAAAAAGGGTATAGGCATACCTCATTTTATTGCGCTTCACAGTTAATTATGTTTTTTACAGATTGAAGGTTTGTGACAACCCTGAATTGAAAAAGTCTGTTAATGCCATTTTTCCAACAGCACGTGCTCACATCATGTCTCTGAGTCACATTTTGGTAATTCTTACAATTTATGGTGATCTGTGATCAGTGAACTTTGATGTTACTGTTGTAATTGTTTTGGGCCTCCACTAACCACACCCACATAAACCAGGAAATTTTGTCATAAATATTGTGTATGTTCTGACTGCTGCACTGACTAGCTGTTTCCCATCTCTCTCTCCTTCTTCTCAGGTCTCCCTATTCCCTGAGACACAACAATATTGAAATTAGGCCAGTTAGGAACTTAAAAGTTTTAAAAATGAATGTTAAAAATTGTTTTTACACATAACTGGGGAAAAATAAAATACTACATAAAAAGAAATCAGGCCAATTAATAGCCCTACAATGACCTCTAAGTATTCAAGTGAAAGGAAGAATTTCATGTCTCTCACTTTAAATCAAAAGGTAGAAATGATTAAGTGAAGAAAGCATGTTGAAAGCTGAGACAGGCCAAAAGCTAGGCCTCTTACACCAAACGGTTAGCTAAAATGTGAATGCAAAGGAAAAGTTCTTGAAGAAAATTAAAGGTGCATTTTTTAGCAATAAAGCATTTTAAGTTAAAGTATGTACATTTTTTAGACATAATAATTTTGCACACTTAATAGACTACAGTGTAGTATAAACATAACATTTATATATACTGGAAAACCCCCAAAATCTTGTGACTTGCTGTAAGTAAGGTGAATTTTAGTGTGTGTAAGGAGGATTTTGTTATTCCTTTTTAGATAATATTTCCAGGATTCTAGCTAATATTTCCCATGAATTATGGTTGAAAACATCTCCACCACACTTGTGCAGTGAGATATAGGGAAGACATAAGTGATATTTACTACGCTTGCATTAAATGGAAATATTGCTAAAGTTAACCTGTGAGGCCATTGTTAGCAATGTGCCTTCTTTGTCTGTTGCCCTATAAATCAAGTGAGCACTGGTCAGTAAGTGGGGAACCCATGTTGGGATTTGGGTAATGCATAGAGGAATGCATGTACCTGCATCTGTATGCTTGCCTCAACCCGCCCCTATTCTCACCAGACCTTTCAAGAAGGGTGATTAGGGAATGCTGTGGGAGTTGGTGCTCCCATCATCAGAAACTCTTTTGAGAAAACTAGACTAGAATAAAGTAAGCTTGTTTAACCCCTCTGAAGCTATCATCGTATTTGACCAGATCAAAAGTGAACCTGTGTTAGAACACCTGTTAGTGTTAGGAGCCCTCCTGTGTTCTCCTGTCAACAAACGGTGTCACCAGTGTGTTTACCTGTGAAGCACTTGATTAATTTTGATACTTGCTTTATTGGGGTGATCTGGAACAGAACCCGAAATATCTCTGAGGTCTGCCTGTATAATAACATGAAGAGAGGGTTTGTCTCCCTTTGTATTTTTATCCTCACTTCCTGCCACAGAGCTTGGCACACAGGTAGGTATCCTTTGTTTCTATAGCCAATGCTTTTTTCTGTAGCATCATGGGCCTCTGGATTTCGTAGGGCTTTGAATGCTGCATGAGGGAGTTTGAAGTCTGCTCATGACAGAACAGATCCTCTTATGATCTTTTTAAATAAAGGAGTGACAAGACCAACCCTTTGCATAAGAATAATTAGTCTGGTCTTAATCTGAGGGGTTGATGGCTTGATTGATGAGGGAGAAAGTAGAAGCAGGAAGTCTTGTTCAGAGAGTAGCGAATTAGTTTACTTGGGTGGTAACGAGGACCCCTCATGCCAGGACATACTGTTCAGTTCTTTCAGTCATATTCAACTCTTGGTGACCCCATTTTGGGGTTTTCTTGGCAAAGATACTGGGGTGGTTTGCCATTTCCTTCTCCAGGCCATTTTACAGATGAGGAAACTGAGGCCAACAGCATTAAGTGACTTGCCTGGGGTCACACAGCTAGTAAGTGTCTGATGCCTAATTTGAACTCAGGAAAATGAGTCTTCCTGATTCCAAGCCCAGTGCTCTAGCCATTTCGCCACCTACCTGCCTAGGACGTGTCAGGCGCTTCATAAAGTATTTCTTGAGTTTGTAGGCTGGCAATAGTGGGAACAGAGGAAAGGAGAAACTTGAAAACATGGAGTTGGAGTTGGCAGGATGTATTAACTGACTTGAGAGATGTGAGCAGATACAGTGTAGAGCGCAAGCTAATCCAGGCCCTTAACCTGGGAAATTATTAGTGGAACCACAGCCAAAAATAAGGAAATCATAAAGAGGAGGAGGTTTAGGGAGAAAGTTCATGTGCTCCATTTTGTGCATGTTAAGTTTGAAATGCCCGAGGACATAAATCAGGAGATGGTCTGTGGGCAGTTGGAAGCCCCAGTCTAGAGTTCAGAAGAAAAGCTGAGATTGAAGATAAAAGATTTGGGAATTATGTTTTCCTGTTCTGTGAACCACCCCCACCCCAGCCCCCAACACAAGGTTGAGCACACAGTGGGTCTGAGTTGAAAAGTCAAATTTAATTTAGTAAAGATGTTGTTAAAGAAATGACAACGGAACCAGTTTCTACTATTGTATTGTTCTCCTAAAAGTTCTGTTCCTCACCAAAGCTCTAATTAGGGCAGGGAGATCTGTGCTTTGCTCCAAGGCGCTAAAATTTAAAGGGTGTTCACCTCTCTCATTCTTTTTGTTTTGTTTTGTTTTGTTTTTTAGTGAGGCAATGGGAGTTAAGTGACTTGCCCAAGGTCACACAGCTAGTATGGTCAAGTGTTTGGTCTGAGGTCAGATTTGAACTCAGGTCCTCCTGACTTCAGGTACCTCTCTCATTCTTCTCAGCAGCATAGAAACTGAGTTTATTGGGCAGATGAAATACATGTTAAGTGCTTTCTACGGGCCAGACTCTGTGCTAAGCATAGGGGGATACAGATACAAACAAAAAGAAAGGCATCCCCTGCCCTCAAGGAGCTTACATTCTAATGTGGGAAGAAACCACATAAAAGGGATCTGAAAAGTGGTGGGATGGGAGAGAAGGGTCCAGGGTTGGGGCATGGTGGTGAAGTCCAGAGCTTCCAAAGCACAGCTGGGAAGAGAATGAAGCATGGCTGACCTGGGTGAATCCCCAGAATGGAAGTTCCCCCCCAGCCCTGCCCCAAGGAGCTTGTTAATGGGAAAAAGGAGCATTCATGGTGGAGGGAAGTTCCAGCTGAGTCATCGCGGCAAAGCCTGGAGAAGCCCATCTAGGCTTAGGGTTCTTATTTTAGACTAAGCCTGTGGTTTAATCAATGTAAGTTAGAGCTCCTGTTGAGTTTCCTTTGCCAGTACAGATCAGCACCTTCTCTGATGGATCATCTTGCAGAATTGTCTGCAGCACTACAAAGTTAAATGCCTTCCCTAAGTACTGGGTCCCCTGGTAGAACGCGAACCCAGGTCTTCCTGATTCCAAGGCTGACTCTATCCTGCCTCTAGTTAGCATCTGGTTAGCAACAATAATTAAAGTAGGAAATTGCCACAGGGT